AGATGTCAGCTACCCAGCTGCACACGACCAGATGTAAACCACCCAGCTACACACTACAAGATGTCAACCACCCAGCTACACACGACCAGATGTCAACTACCCAGCTACACACGACCAGATGTCAACTACCCAGCTACACACTACCAGATGTCAACTACCCAGCTACACACTACCAGATGTCAACCACCCAGCTACACACTACCAGATGTCAACCACCCAGCTACACACTAGTTCATATCTTAGTGAAAAAGGAATTCACTTAAAATGTGATCAATCAGGGGAAAACTCTCCTTCATAACTGGTGTCGTTCCTTTTATATCCATTTTACTAGTATCTTTATTATTAACACGTGATATTGAAACCATATTGAGTCATGTCCCATAACTGAAATCAGTCTCGGCCTTCGCACTGCCGTCAGGCGGTGCTCGTGTTACATCGCAATGTACGCTAGCGATGAAGAGGAGCTAATTAAGCTGGTCCCCGTCTCTCATATCCCAATATAAGCTTGGCGCAAGTTGACGACGCACATAGAGAGCCGGGAACCAGCTTAACCCTCTGGATGCCGATTTTTTTTTCTGACGCACATTTTCCTAAGATCGGAAAAGTGAAGTTTGTGCAAGAATTGCGCTCACGCGGCACTGGATCTACCTCTGGCTATAAAATTACCCAGAGGTGGAGAATATGAAATTTCTTATTTAATAGTGTAAATTTAACTGTAAATATCAAACCGGTTTTTAAAAAAGACACTCCTAAGTGTTGTCCGAGAATTTATTCTGCGTCGAAAAACAGTAAATTTCTCCGCTTTTTATCGTACACCGATAAAAGTACTGTGCGACATTTTTTTTTATTAAGAAGCTTTACGAAAACTGTGGGCGAACAAAATAATGCCTAATATCTGAACGACATAATAACATATCAAATGGAGTTATATGCGTATGTATAACGACATACATTCAATTCCAAAAATAGCATGCCGTAAATGACGAAAACTGATTTATCTCTATGACGTCAAAAGGTGACAGAGAGGTTACACACGTACAAAGAAAAGGGGGCATAACTCCGCTATGCTTAGCTCTAGTTTGTTGTAAACTCAGGTCACTTGGTGAGAATTAACTGTGGGTAAGGACAATATATTTTCGTGGTGTTTTGTTCACGAGGAACCAAACTATTCCAACACAAATATCAATATTGAAACTGTACACGTTTAGCTATAAAATATACCCATCAGAAATGATGAAATCGTACTTCATAAAAAGGAGGTAATAGAGAAATGGATGGCCTTATCTAACCTATAACTTTGTCCTTAGATTCCAACATTCTCCTGATTGTGTAAGTTTAATTTGACTAATGTTGCATCATTATTAATGGAGCACAAGCCTTATCACCAAATGTTATGAAATACCCTAAAAATAACACGATACCTTTTGACGTCATGGCTGGTTTTATGTCTTCGATAACGTCGGAAAAAGACGACACTGGTATTTTGATTAATATATATCTCCCCTAATTTTCGTTCATGGTATGGAAAATCTCGATGTGTGAAACGGAATTTGACGCTTTTTCGACACAACATAAAACGACTGCTCTCACCAAGTAAATAATGTCTTGAATATGTAAACAATTAGAACGTTTATCGTGTATCTTAATTTGACAAGACACGCACCTGTTTGGCATCAACTTACGTAATGAAATTCCCAAAAGAATATTTCAAAACAACCAGAATTATATTCAATATTGGACATATATTTGTTCATGATTATGCTATTTTTTCTTACACAATAAAAGATGCAAAGAAAGCTCTATTGGTATAGAATTATCAGGGTAATCGTATACGTTTGAACCAACGGGGTACCTGGCATGGGTTTTATTTTTATACATTTTACAATTCCTGGAGAAAAAAAGTAAACTGTTTACTATCCTGTGATCACAATATTGAAACAATAATGTAACCATTGATTATATAATGCAAAACGAGAGGAATAATTCGTAAATTGTTTGTGAAATATGTACATGCTGCAGTTACATTTACACTTCATCTTGTAACACTTGTCCAAAGGAAAGAAATATCGTAGTCGACACTATAAACCTATCACATTGTTATGTAAACAATGTTCAAACAAACAGGAGATTATCAAAGGTTCCTTCATACATGTTGTGGCCTATATGTACGTATGATTTCATTTTGAACATTGACAAATATCCAAAGTGAAATTAATTGTGTGAAAAAATGTATAAAAGACATGCAAAATATACACCATAACTGAAACTGTAAACAGCATGATACAGTGATCGTGTGCACTCTCATTCAAGGACCTTCACCTCAAAGAAATGACCAAATATGTACAACAATGTTGACGTATGACATCACTACCTGTGACCCACTTTTACAAAGTGGCGTGTACACATTCAACAGTACGCGGGATTGTACGAGGGGACTTTCGTTGATTCAGGGATCGTATAAACATAAATGTGACATGTAAGTAATCAGAAACATTCTGACAATCTATGTACTGTTATTTGTTGTCATAATTTTCATAGAAACAAACGGAAATAGTCAGAAATTCCGATAAATACCGTTGTCGTTATGCGTGATTTTGCGTCAGTCATGGCGTCAACCAGAACGTAACTTTGACAACTTCTGTTGAAAATATCTAATCATTGCAATGTATCTATTTGAAATTCCGTAATTCTTCCTACGATTCTCTTCCCATGCATATTCTGAAAATGTTGAGCCAATATATTGAACGAATAGACGAATGGATAGCTCAAAATAGGAGAATATGCTACACTGTGTAAAATCTGAATTTTGCTTTGTTTACATTTCAACCATGTGCAGTTTTTCGAGCACAGCGTTCGTTTTCACACCTAAGTTATTTTGCTTGATTTCATCTAGCCACTTAGTATTGGTGACAAAGACCACTGGTCATTTGATTCTAAAATGTATGAGGAATTCAAGGATGTAGGTATTGCAGATAAGTTTGAAATATACGTGATGTTACAGGCGTCTCATAACCGGTGTACCCGAAACGTGATTTTGTAAACACTATCCAATATGGCGGAAAGTTCACTTCGGCGTTCGTGTTTTCGTTTTTCCCAAAACATTCTAAACGATTCTAGGGTTATCGGAGACGTTTTGGAATGATCATTGGTGATTTCATAAAAGACAAATACCCGTGATCACTAATATGCTATTTTTGAAATTCATTTCTCCGAGTAAATATCGTAATTTAGATTTCAAAACATGCTGTAAATAACGCCGTGAGTGGTGATTTAGTAATGTGTAAAAAATGGCGACATTTACGATGTGCCTAATTTTCAGAGGTCATGTTCAGTACTTTTGCTTGGCCTAAAATGCCAGTGGATGATATCACAGGACAGGGAATTTCCCACCTTATTCAAAACTGTAAAGTGTTGTTGTGTGGGTGATGTATTTTGAATTTTATTCGACTTCAAAGTGAGGGTTGTAGAGGAGGCACCTTAATTTTTTTTTTTACCTTGGAACTTACATTGTAACTTGCAAGCGCCAAATATTGTGAGATGTTAAAACAAGTTTACATTAGATATTAGCCTCTACTCCAACTATAATCCTACTTAGCTTATACGCGCACGCAACTCAACTTATTGTGAAAACATAACATGCTTTGAAGAAAAATAATAGAAATTAAACTCGTATCGTCTCTTACAAACACAGCTAATTGTGAAATAAAACAAATAAGAAATTAGCCCCCTACTCCAATTTACTCACCGACTCCGATTGGGAGGCGTAGTTAACTTATTGTGAAAACACTATACGCTTTGAAGTTTTAAGTACCAATACTCAATTTAAGCTGAAACTGTATTTAAGAGGCCAAACATGATGCTGTCAGATCACAATTATTCACAATGGCCTTTCGATGTGTTGCATGCAAGAAGAATGTCCGAAGAAATCTACATGCTGTATCATGTGATAACTGTGATCAGTGGACCCATCGAGTATTTGGAACAGGACTTTCTGTGGCTCGTTATAGAGAAATTTGCCGGACTGAAGAAGACTTCCCTTTCCGCTCCCTGACCCAAGTACTTTCACAATGTTCTGTTGTTCATGGACCAATTTTGTGAAGAGGATGATGATGATGATGATGATGGAGATGGACATGTATATGTGAACATATTTACTGAAAAGAGGAAATACAATGTAAATCACCAATCAAATACTATGTAAATAAAACCTATATTTACTTATATCTCTTAAAAGAGGAAATGTAAATACATCACTAATAAAATACCATGTAAATAAACCCTATATATTACTACAAAAATCGTTGCTATCGTTATTAAAAATAGAGATGCCGTTGTCGCCCGACTCATAATAGCCGTTTTCGCCAAATGCGGTGCCGTTTTCGCCAGAGAAATCGGTGCCGTTTTGCTGAGGTGCCGTTTTAGCCTGCAACCATCGTATCCGAATTACGTGGATAGATGCTCATAATGTCAATCACTGGATTGTCTGGTCCAGACTGGATTATTTACAAACCGCCCTCATATGGCTGGAAGATTGCTGAGTGCTGCGTTAAACAACAAACAAACAAACAACCAAGCGGTACATGTAGTTGCGCCGCCATTTTGGAAGAGTCCCCAAGCGCTTCGAACTGTTGCAGACAGCGGGTTGAGCGATGAATTTGCTTTCTCTAAGTGATTCATGGCTTGCAACGCGGCCCCTGCTTTTACTCGGAGCTACTAATGTAAAACAATGAATTTGTATCTGTAAAATATGCATTGTTAGATAAAATAAATGACATCTGATATAGAGAACACGAATAATCATAAAGGTTAGTGAGTGCATTTTGTTCCGTTTAGAGTACATGACAAGTACCGCCATACACCGAGGTTTCAGGCTACGTGCTCCTTGTTTAAGCCCCTTAGTGCCGATCTCCAGGCAGGGTATTAAGAAGTACCATCTTTTAACGTCTTTTGGTCTGTTGCGGCTGGGCGCCGGGGATCGAATCCCGGACCTTCCACTCTCTAGGACGATGTTCTACCACTAGACCATGGAGGCAATCTCCTGCAGACAGACCTTGTACACATTCAGACATTTTTTGTTGTAGGATGACGATGAGTTTAATGCCAACATTGATTAAAGCCACTGATGAATGACATTAAACAGTGAAGAATGTTCCACGATATGGATTAGAACGATATACCTAGTGGCTGATTATTAATCGGATGGAGAAAGGTGAAGTCCAGACAGATGATAGTGAGACAGAGCATGGAGGATGTACACCAGCAAAGTGCAGGAGGAATCACAATGACGGGGACACGTCATCAGCCGGGGAAAACATGGAGCTTGCAGGTACTCCCACGAACAACCCTCAAGGAACAACTGAAGGAGCAGGCAGTATTGCGGATGATGCAGAAGATAAAGATGTTGATGAAGAGAGTGCTGACGAATGTCTGTTTGATGACATCACAGATGAGGAAGAGGGGGAAGGAATAGAAGACATGTCACAGCTTGGAGCAGGTGCTGTAGCGGTCAAATTCCAGACTGTCCAACAAGAGTCATACCAACTTGTATCTAAAGGTATGTATGCCAAAGGAAACTAGGACGTGTAATTAGTGCTGCACTCTTAATAGGATGGTAGCAACACTTTGAGAAATATTACATTTATTTCAGGAGTCAACACGGGGTAAAAATGAGCCAATGCCAATCATGTGTCAGATGCATGTGCATATATCTGAGGTGTGAGGTGAGGTGAAATTGGGTTTAACGTCGCGTCCAAGATTATTGCACTTATACATGTGTGTGTTTGTGGCTGCTTGTACTAGTCCGGACCGTGCCTGATTTATAGTGCTCGCTCACTGAGATACCATGCTGCAGTTTAACATGAATACCCCACTCAGACACAGTATACTGACTCCGAGCCGACCGGTCCTTGTTTTAGCCCTTGTTTTTGCCAAACGCCAGACACGGTAACAACAAGGAGCATCTTTAAATGTCTTTTGGTATGACGCGGCCAGGTATCGAAACCCCGAACTTTCCGCTCTCTGGGCGGACGCTCTACCACTAGACCACGCAGGCGATCTCATATATTTGAGTGAGTGAGTATGGTATTAAGCCGCTTTTAGCAATATTCCAGCAATATCACGGCGGGGGACACACGAAATGGGCTTCACACATTGTACCCATGTCGGGAATCAAACCCGGGTCTTCGGCGTGACGAACGAATGCTTTAACCACTAGGCTACCCGACCGCCCCTCACATATCTGAAATAACACTGTTACTGTGTAGATTATGAGTGTAATGTATGTAGACAATGAGTTTTTAAAACGTGTTCTCAAAAGTGAAACACATCAGCCATCACTCCTTGGTGGAAACCATGCCAGTTTAGCTGAAGAGACTGGCAATGTGTAATGAATGCTGCGGAGTACTTGTCACCAGTATTTTACAACTAACAAACTTTCAATAAGTGAGGTAAGTAGGTCAGGAGCTGAGCAAGGTCACGGAAGCATTAAGCTTCCTGTTGTCCTCTATTTTACTCTGAACATTCTGTTACATCTTCAGAGAACCAATGTAATTTTGTAGTCTCTAAATATGAATGTTGGACTATAGCTGAGATATTGAAGTGTGGCAGATATTCCTGTTACTTCATGTTGTGTAACAACATGTTGAATTTATTAATTTACCAATGTATTATATTTATATTTACAATAACGTTTGTATTACTTTAGGCGATTCCATGTGGAATCGGAACGGAAGAATCTTCTGCACCAACTCAGGAAAATGTTTGTCCCCACAGTTATGTTGAAGTGTCTTGAAATTATTTCTTCATAATTCACATGACCTACAGAGACTGCGTTTTAGTAAGACCTACGGTAACAAGAAATAGAATAAGAGATATGATAGCCATGTCAGAATGTACAGTTACTTTTTGAGGTTTTCACTCCCTGTCACTCAAGCCAAAATGTCATCTAAAGCTAAGCTGTGAAATGTTTGGGTGTACAAGAATTCATTTCTCAAAAAAAGAGTCTTCTCCAATGTAAGTATTGATGGTATACACAAGAAACAAGTTACCAATATGTTATGTCAAGGGGTAACCACTCTGGCGACTTTGTGAGTGACTGAGTGAGTTTGGTTTTACGGCGCTTTTAGCAATACTCCAGCAATAACAGAAATGGGCTTCACACATTGTACCCATGTCTGGAATCGAACCCGGGTCCTGGGTGTGACGAGCGAACGCTTTAACCACTAGGCCACCCGACCTAGTGACTTCATGATCAATTCATAGTTGTTGCATGGTGAGTGGTGTTGAAAAACAAACAAGACTCACTGACAGTTACAACCCGTGAACCATCCTGTGTTGTTTGTAGCCACAAACTAAAACTATGTTTTTATCTATCAATTCTCATTGAAACAATGTTGTTATTCGTGTATTATACCTTGACCAAAAATGGCGGGGGTATGTAGTTATACTGAGGTATTCCATCCATTTGTCCATCTGTGAACATCTTTTCCGCGAGCTATAACTTAAAAACTACTGCATGGATTCTTTCAAACTTGGTGAACTTTTGCTATACCAATAGGAGAGGTGCAGTGTGAAGTTTGATTGCAATATTTGGACTTTATGAAAAAACCCAGCTATTTTTCATATTATGAATTAGAATTATTTTATTCAAACATTTGCTCGACCGATATTTGAAAAACTGCATCAAGGATTCTTTTCACGTGTGGGAACAGTTTTAAAAGTAACTGAAGAGGTGGAGTGCAATGTTTGATTTTGATATGTGAATATTCTGAGGGATATGAATTTGTATCTGTTTCGAACTTAGAATGTTTTGTTTTTTTAATTCAACAATTGCACGACCTATTACATGAGGACCACTACATGGATTCTTTTCAAATTAAAGGAACACTTTTTGTGCTGATAGGGGTTATGTGTATTTTCTGAAAACATATGATCTTTCATGTTTTCAACTTGGAAAACTTGCTTCTACATTTGTGCGACCTATAAATTGAAAACAACTTCATGGATTCTTTTCCATTTGGTATAACAGTCTCCTTACCAAATAGGAGAGGAGCAGTTCAAAGCTTGATCTTGATAAGTCGATGAATTCAAGGTTGGGGGTAATAGTGAGCCCTGCTCATTTTGCCGTGTCTGGAATTTGTAACTGTAACCTGTGTGTTTCCCTCGTAGATACCACGGCACTGGCACACCACATCATTGGATGTTGTCAACAACCAGAGGGCGAAATAACATCAGCACCACAGCAACATCAGGGGACGCAACTCCAACCAGCTTCAGCTGGTGATGTTGATCAGACAAGTCAGGGACAACTGCCCATAACTACATCTTGTGTAGTTCCTAACACAACCAGTCTACAGGTCCCGACAACAGCAGCCCAGATACCAGTGTCCACAACTACATCTTGTGTAGTTCCTAACACAACCAGTCTACAGGTCCCTACAACAGCAGCCCAGATACCAGTGTCCACAACTACATCTTGTGTAGTTCCTAACACAACCAGTCTACAGGTCCCGGCAACAGTAGCCCTGACACCAGCTTCCATGTCATCTCTTCTACCCAGATTACCAGGATCGTCCGGGCTACCTGAGGTACCAGTGGCTGGTGATTCCCGTGGAGGTGAGTGCTGTTACGCAATAAACAGGAACATGACTAATGGTTCAGATATCTAACACCAAAGGTTACATCTTTTCAAATGGCTTTGTTTTAAGCTGATATGCCGTGGCATCTGTATCTACGTGAGGGACAGTAACCCTACACAACCTCCATGCCTCCATATCATCCTACCTTCACGCATAGTTTTTCTAAGCTGTCCTCCATTTCAGGTCGGTCATTTAGAACACACTAAAACAGAATATGGGTAATTTGGCTATATTGCTTTAAGCGACTTCTTCTTTGGAACTAAGAGATAGATATCAACCATATTTGGTTTGAAGCATTCTCCGGTGATGAGGATTCAAAATTGTACGAATGGTGGTGCTGACCCCCAAGGGGGCTGAGGGGTTGGGCCAAATACTGGTAATTTGGCTCTATTGCTTTAAACGATTCTTCTCTGGAACTAAGTAATAGATATCAATCGTATTTGGTTGGAAGCATTCTCTGGTGATGAGGATTCAAAAGTGTACCGATGGTTGGGCTGACCCCCCAAGCGGCTGAGGGGTTGGGCCAAATAGCGGTAATTTAGCTATATTGCTTTAAACGACTTTTTCTCTGGAACTAAGAGATAGATATCAGCCATATTTGGTTTGAAGCATTCTCCGGTGATTAGGATTCAAAATTGTACCAATGGTGGGGCTGACCCCCTGAGGGGCGGGGCCAAATATGGGTAATTTTGCTATATTGCTTTCAGCGACTTCTTCTCTGGAACTAAGACATAGATATCAACCATATATTGCACCTCTTTTCCCAAGCGTCTCGTTACCCCTCCCTCTATTGAGAATTTTATAAGACTTATGTCAGCTGAAAACGAAAAATTATAAAAAGCTTAGATAAATTTCTCTTGCAAGTCATGAACATTCGAACGGAAACATAGTGTTGAACTACTCATCTACTCTGTATGCAAATATATATACAGTATATTTCCATTGTATTATGGGCCGGTGGCCTGAAGTACCGAATAAACTTCTCTGTCTGTCTGTCTGTCATATATTGCTGGAAGCATTCTCCGGTGGTGAGAATTCAAAATTGTACAAATGGAAGGGCTGATCACCCCCCTAGGGGCTGAGGGGCGGGGCAAAATAGGGGTAATTTGGCGTTATTGCTTTAGATGACTTCCTCTCTGGAACTAAGAGATAGTTATCAACCATATTTGGTTGGAAGCATTCTCCAATGGAGGAGATTCCAACTGGGGAAATGGAGGGGCTGAACACTTCCCCCACCCCCGGGGATTAAGGGGCGGGGCTAAAAGTTTATAACTTGGACACAGTTAAGATCCCCACCGTATAGCCATATTTTGGTTGGTTGGTTTGTTGATGAACGCCGAACTCAGCAATATTCCAGCTAAATGACGGCGGTCTGTAAGTTATCGAGTCTGGACCAGACAATCCAGTGGTTGATATCATGAGCATCGATCCACTCAATGACCACCCGATCCCTTTAGTCGCCTCTTACGACAAGCATAGTCACCTTTTACAGCAAGCATGGTTTGCTGAAGACCTATTCTACCTCGGATCTTCACGGGTCTATAATCATATGTACAATTGAGAGTATAATGAGAGGAATGCACATATGCTACCAAGACTGTCCCTTCTGTTCATCTGTCCGGCACTCCCAGAGGAGTTAGAACATTGACCATAACATTCAAACCGATATTTTCCCAACCCTATAATAAACAGATACATTGTAAACATTTGCTTGTTATGAAGAGAATAAAACCTTTAATATGATTTATCAGGGATCATAACATGGAAACGGTTCAGATCTTTATGCTACATTTGTATCAAGAGGAATACACGTTCATGCTGTCAGATTTGCCATCCACCAATTTTAAATGCTGACAGAGTCAAAATTACAAAATATTTGCAGTATTATATACATGTACAAAGCAAATGTATATTGTGTCATGATTGCGTATACAGTAAACTACGGTTATAACAAACTCAAAGGGACCACTAATTTTAGTTCGTTATAACCAAAAAGACCAGTTTGTTGTATCCGTCAGTTCGTTATAAGCGTGTTCCTTATAAACGTAGTTTACTGGATATCCAGGTGAGCGACACAGGCCCTGTGGGCCTCTTGTTGGTCTCTTGTCAGTTTTACTATCACTATAGGTAGGTTCAAATATGAAAAACATCTGTGAAAGTTTCAGTCATGTGGTTTCTGTAACAGTGGCCCAGTACAACCTTATCTACGTACGGCAACAGTTTGGAGATGTGACAGTCCCGGGCGCCAGGAATGTGAACATTGGTGGCACACAGACTGTTGGTGCAACTCAGACCCCGGTGGAAGAGGAGAAGCCACTGACTGCAGCACAGAAGATCAGGAGTGAGTAATCTGTACTTGTTCTCACAATGACCATTCAGTTGTTGACTACTGGTAATGAATGCTGGTTGTGGTAATCGGAGTATTTGTGCCAAATGTCCTCACATTTGTACAGCTTATCACTTTTTTCATTAACTTTCACTAGTCATGATCCTTACAAGATCTCCGAAGCAATTATCATATATTGGTTGCTATGGCTTCCTGCCTGTTGCTTAGTTTTAAATCACGCAATGACAGCTATCATATAAAGATATTTCGGTTTGCCATATGGTATTCATTCAGTGGAAAAGAAAATATTTTATTTGAAAATCTGTTCAGTACTAAATAAAACATCAGCAGTGCATTGAAATAAACAAAAAGTGGGAAACAGTCAGTTTCCATGGCAGAACATTTGATAAAAAACTACCTGTGAAGATCAAGGGTAGAATAGGTCTTCAGCAAACCATGCTTGCCATAAAAGGCTACTAAGCTTGACATAAGAGTGGACTAACAGGTTCGGGTGGTCAGGCTCGCTCACTTGGTTGATGCATGTCATTCATCTCAATTGTGTAGATCGATGCTCATGATGTCAATCAGACTTGATTATTTGCAGACTGTAGTCATATAGTTGGAATATTGCGGAGTTTGGCCTTAACCAACAAGCAAACATAGCATCCAAACATGTTGGATAGCATATTTTCAGGCCAAATTAAATGAATTGGTACACACTCACTCCCTCAAGTTTCATATCACGTTTTAAATATGAGTTTCTGTAACTGTGATAGTCTGTCTGTACAGTCTGTCTGCCCTCTCGTCTGTTTCTTTGTTTATTGTTTAACGCCGCACTCAGCAATATTCCAGTTATATGACGGCGGTCTGTAAATAATCGAGTCTGCACCAGACAATCCAGAGAATTACATCACGAGCAGGCATGAACCAATCGATCTTGAACACCCGATCGCCTCTTACGGCAATCATGGGTTGCTGAAGACCTATTGTCTATGCGGATCTTCACGGGTCGTGTTTTCTTGTTAGGAATAGTAACTTACATACATAATCTTTAATTTATCATTACATGTATGTACAATGCAATCTCTTGGTGTGGAACTCAAACGTAATCCCAGCGAAGTTGCAGCCAGGAAGACTTCCACCCGCATCCCCCTTAAAAAAATATATAATTATGAGGATTAAGCAGCAATGCATGGGAGCTAAAACTTTTGAGGAGGGATATGGGCCTGCACAATGCGAATTTCTTTATTTTACATGTTTCTCTCCGAGACCTCCATTAGGATTATGTTTCGGTTCTACAACAAGTGATTGCATTAATATATGTAATGTAGGATTAATGTATACATATCAACCTTTTCAGATATTATTAATATTGATGATTTGTGGATTTATTGATAATAGATTGACAATATGCATTGATCAGAGACATGTTTGTTTGTGTGCGGTTTAATGCTGCAATATTCCAGGTATAAGATGGCGGTCTGTAAATAATCTAGTATGGACCAGACAATCCAGTGATTGATGTCATGAGCATCAATCCACGCATTTGGATACAATGACATGCATCAACCAAGTCAGCGAGCCTGACCACCCGATCCCGTTAGTCGCCTCGTACGACAAGCATAATCGCCTTTTAAGGCATGCATGGGTTGTTGAAAACCTATTTTATCCCAGATCTTCACAGGTCGATCAGAGGCATGCGTCAACAAAGGGTTCTACAAGCCGACATTCACGTGACAATGGCAACAATACACCTATTTAAATTGAGAACCAAACCTTTTGTTTGACAGATTTAATATGTAGTTTTATATCACATTTCCCTTGGTCCACAGAAAGAACGGAATCCAGGATACAGTCGTGGACTAAAGACATGGTGGAGACAGAAGCCCTCCAGAAAGTGACGGAGAAGCTGGACAGAGGAGCAACATGGGTGACAATTAAAGGAAGGCCAGGAGAGGGGAAGTCTACAATAGCCTACATGGCCCTCAAAGATCAGCACATTCAGGGGAGACAAGTGTATCAGGTGGTGTCACCGGAGGAGTTCAACGAGGTCATAACCGCCAGCACTAACCCTGTCATTATGTTAGATGACATATTCGGTGATCTGGAATTTGATGTAGCAGAATGGGCCAAGTGGAGACCAAGTCTACGACCTATTGTGGATGTGAAAGATCCTGATAAATATACTGAAATAGATTCTTTACACAAGTCCACTAAAACTGGAAAAGTTTCAGACAGAACAACAGATGAGCAAGCACAGCGAAAAAAAATAGGACCAAACAAGGACAAAACTATCATTATCCTCGTAGGCCGTGATTATGTGTTGAAATCCTCATTGACAGACTTGGGAAGGATGGCAGATTATATAAATTCTCCCCAATACATGGTGGAAGTTTCCTCACAGAGAAACTCTTTCGAAAAAAGAAGGATTTGGAATGTTCATGCTAAAACCAAAAGCATAGACTTTGAGAACTCAACTGTGTCTCAGATATGTCAGGCTGAGTGTCCACACGGCTTTCCTCACGTGTGTAAAATGTTTGTCACAACATATGAAAAGGATCAGACTCAGCTTCCAGTGGTGGCTTTCTTTCACAAGCCTATCGCGTTCCTCAACAAGACTGTGGATAAATTTCTTAAAGATAAGATAAAGCGTTCACTGTTCATGGCTATGATTGAACGAGATGGGAAGATTAGTGGACAAGAGATGGAGGAGGAGGAGGATAACCTTGGGTATGAATGCAGAGCAGCTGCTGATGATATGGTTGGATCTTACCTCAAGAAGGAAGGTGACATGTACATGTTCGACCATCCATCTATCTACGACAGCGTGGCTCTAATTCTCACTACACTACAATCAAAGTTTGTCATAAGAAATTGTAGTTTGTCATTCATCCATCAGCGAGTTCGTCTTCAAGCCTCCTCAAAACTAGGGAGAGACGTTCCTGGTGAGACAGATCTTGTTGCTAACATCCCATGGGTCTATGCTGGACACTTAGCCAGAAGATTTGCAACTGAAATTTCAAGGAGCAATTTGTTGAATGTCTTATCACACCAGGCATGTTGTAATCCAGAGTTTATAGACTTGCTACTGGGCTGCCTGAAGACACACTGTCACATGTCTGTTTCTGATGTTCTGAAACTAACTGACACTTCTTCAAAACAGTCATTTAATGAATTAATTTCGAGCAGCAAATCACATCATCTCATCAAATTTATAATGGAGAAAGAAAACATAGTATTAAGACAGCATGAAATAAGAGACATTTTCCTTGGGGTGTGCATGAATGCTGCTTGTAGTGTACTGACCTACATCAGTGAACACCAGCAGCTTGAGATAGATGCTAGATATGGTTGTAATGAGAAAACGCCACTTATGTTAGCAGCAGAAACCAAAGACAGCTCGTTCGTTGATCAGATTATGTCCCTTCACCCTGACCTGAATGCAAGGGACAGGCGAGGTCGAACTGTCTTTTATTACCTTTGTACAAATGGCCTTACGTCAGCTGTGGAACATGCGATTAACATGGGTGTGGATGTTAATAAGAATCATACATTTGGCAAACACCCTCTATACCTTGCCATAGAAAATGGTCACTTCGAGGTGGTGAAACTCCTGCTGCAAAAGGGATGTCATATAGATAAACAGGAAGGTTTTGCATGTGCCGTTAGGAGCTCTAACAAGGACACGATGCAGTTTCTTTTAGACAGAGGAGCAAAGGTTCACGGGGATGCTGTGTACATTGCTTGTGACTTGGGAACCTTGTCTATCATTAAGATGCTGTTTGAGAAGGGTGCTACTGTTAACATGGTGTCATCTAAAGGAGATACCCCTCTTCTTAGTTCATGTGGTGGGAACCCAAAAGTTATCTTGTTTTTGCTTGAGAAGGGAGCAAGTGTGAATCAACTTTCAAATTGCACTGGAAACACACCACTTCATGCAGCAGCAGCAGGGAGGGGATCTACAGAGTGTGTTGATGTATTACTGAAGGCTGGAGCTAATGTGAATGTACAGAATAATACAGGTGACACACCACTTCATACAGCAGTAATACGGGGATCTACAGAGTGTGTTGATCTATTACTGATGGCTGGAGCTAATGTGAATGTACAGAATGATTCAGGTGAATCACCACTTCATAAAGCAGAAGCAGCAGCAGCAGTATGGGGATCTGCAGAGTGTGTTGATGTATTACTGAAGGCTGGAGCTAATGTGAATGTACAGAATATAACAGGTGACTCACCACTTCATACAGCAGCAGCAGCACGATGGGGATCTGCAAAGTGTGTTGATGTATTACTGAAGGCTGGAGCTAATGTGAATGTACAGAATAATACAGGTGACACACCACTTCATAAAGCAGTAGCAGCAGCAGCAGCAGCAGCAGCAGCAGCATGGGGATCTGTAGAGTGTGTTGATGTATTACTGAAGGCTGGAGCTAATGTGAATGTACAGAATATAACAGGTGACTCACCACTTCATACAGCAGCAGCAGCACGATGGGGATCTGCAAAGTGTGTTGATGTATTACTGAAGGCTGGAGCTAATGTGAATGTACAGAATATAACAGGTGACTCACCACTTCATAAAGCAGCAGCAGCAGCAGCAGCATGGGGATCTGCAGAGTGTGTTGATGTATTACTGAAGGCTGGAGCTAATGTGAATGTACAGAATATAACAGGTGACTCACCACTTCATAAAGCAGCACGATCGCGATTTGCAAAGTGTGTTGATGTATTACTGAAGGCTAGAGCTCATGTGAATGTACGGAATAATACAGGTGACACACCACTTCATAAAGCAGCAGCAGCACGATCGCGATCTGCAAAGTGTGTTGATGTATTACTGAAGGCTAGAGCTCATGTGAATGTACAGAATAATACAGGTGACACACCACTTCATAAAGCAGCAGCAGCACGATCGGGATCTGCAAAGTGTGTTGATGTATTACTGAAGGCTGGAGCTAATGTGATTGTACAGAATAATACAGGTGACACACCACTTCATAAAGCAGCAGCAGCAGCAGCAGCATGGGGATCTGCAGAGTGTGTTGATGCATTACTGAAGGCTGAAGCTAATGTGAATGTACAGAATAATACAGGTGACACACCACTTCATGCAGCAGCAGCAGTATCGGGATCTGCAAAGTGTGTTGATGTATTACTGAAGGCTGGAGCTAATGTGAATGTACAGAATAATACAGGTGACACACCACTTCATGTTGCAGCAGCAGCAGCAGCAGTATGGGGATCTGCAAAGTGTGTTGATGTATTACTGAAGGCTGGAGCTAATGTGAATGTACAGAATAAAACAGGTGACACACCACTTCAAAAAGCAGTAGCAGCAGCAGCAGCAGCAGCATGGGGATCTGCAGAGCATGTTGATGTATTACTGAAGCTTGGAGCTAAAGGGAATGTACAGAATAATACAGGTGACACACCACTTCATACAGCAGTAATATGGGGATCTACAGAGTGTGTTGATGTATTACTGAAGGCTGGAGCTAATGTGAATGTACAGAATAATACAGGTGGCACATCACTTCATAAAGCAGCAGCATGGGGATCTGCAGAGTGTGTTGATGTATTACTGAAGGCTGGAGCTAATGTGAATGTACAGAATATAACAGGTGACTCACCACTTCATACAGCAGCAGCAGCACGATCGCGATCTGCAAAGTGTGTTGATGTATTACTGAAGGCTGGAGCTAATGTGAATGTACAGAATAATACAGGTGACACACCACTTCATAAAGCAGCAGCAGCAGCAGCAACAGCAGGGAGGGGATCTCTAGAGTGTGTTGATGTATTACTGAAGGCTGGAGCTAATGTGAATGTACAGAATAATACAGGTGACACACCCCTTTATACAGCAGTAAAATGGGGATCTGCAGAGTGTGTTGATGTATTACTGAAGGCTGGAGCTAATGTGAATGTACAGAATAATACAGGTGACACACCACTTCATACAGCAGCAGTTTCGGGATCTGCAGAGCATGTTGATGTATTACTGAAGGCTGGAGCTAATGTGAATGTACAGAATGATACAGGTGACACACCACTTCAAAAAGCAGCAGTTTCGGGATCTGCAGAGCATGTTGATGTATTACTGAAGGCTGGAGCTAATGTGAATGTACAGAATGATACAGGTGACACACCACTTCATGTTGCAGCAGCAGCAGTATGGGGATCTGCAGAGTGTGTTGATGTATTACTGAAGGCTGAAGCTAATGTGAATGTACAGAATAATACAGGTGACACACCACTTCATGCAGCAGCAGCAGTATCGGGATCTGCAAAGTGTGTTGATGTATTACTGAAGGCTGGAGCTAATGTGAATGTACAGAATAATACAGGTGACACACCACTTCATGTTGCAGCAGCAGCAGTATGGGGATCTGCAGAGTGTGTTGATGTATTACTGAAGGCTGAAGCTAATGTGAATGTACAGAATAATACAGGTGACACACCACTTCATGTTGCAGCAGCAGCACAATCGCGATCTGCAGAGTGTGTTGATGTATTACTGAAGGCTGGAGCTATTATTAATGTACAGAATAATACAAGTGACACACCACTTCATGTTGCAGCAGCAGCATGGGGATCTGCAAAGTGTGTTGATGTATTACTGAAGGCTGGAGCTAATGTGAATGTACAGAATAATACAGGTGACACACCACTTCATAAAGCAGAAGCAGCAGCAGCAGTATGGGGACATGCAGAGTGTGTTGATGTATTACTGATGGCTGGGGCTAATGTGAATGTACAGAATAATGCCGGTGACAAACCATTTTTTATTTGACCAGGACATCAAAAAGCTGATCTGAGATATGTCACTGTTGATTGGAAATAATCTGTAATAATACATATCATCCCAGTGCTATTGCTGAACGAAAGTTATGGATTTCAGACAGTTTGTGATATTAGCAAGTCCTTCTCCCTTTGTCTCACTTCGTTACTGTTGGTGTGAAGACTTGATATGAAGAGTTTGCGGATGGCGCTGATTGACGGCACATTATAAAACTAATCCCCAATGCATATTAGTCTAAACAAAATAGTCTTGGTTCTCAGGCACCACCTGCATCATCATAAAGTCTACCGCACGTTTTGTTTTTATTTCCATTTTCAAAAAAATAGAAACATCCTAGAACATAAACACAATGCACAAAAGAAATTGAAAATGGAAACAAAAACGAAACATGCAATGAACTTTATGATGATGTGGGCAGTGCCTGAGAACCAAGACTTATTTTCTTTAGCCTAAACCCAAAAGGAATTGAGGCGGCATGGACAAGAATTATCTTTGGAACAGAATGAAATAAACCTTGTCAACATGATATGAAGCTATCAACAGTGATAAGTCATCATGTAAATCTGACTATGAGACGTACAGAAATAGAGAACACAATACTAACCTGTCTGAAGTGATACAGTGACTTCCAGATAAAGGCATTGTGAAAGTAACATTCATCGTGAGCATCCAGCTAACACAGACTCTCAAATGTACAGGACTATACGGATTTAGTTTTACTTAAAGACATATACTTTCACTGCTGTGTGAGTTTGGTTGCGTGACCAGCCGATTGATAGAATCGGGCCAATTCTACCACCCGTCAAGGTGAAGTAAGGGTCAAAGTGGTGTGTTGGGCCAAAGGAACAACGGTTCCTGGCTCCAATGCCCTCAACCACCAGAATCCCGTCCTCCGCCGACACAGGGGCGCAACCCACGGCAAACGGGTTGCCTAATTTGGTCGCCTCATACGACCAGCAATGGGTGCTGAGGACACATTCTACCCCGAGTCCACACGGGGGGAAGAGCTATTAGCGTTACCCAGCACTCACCTCGGGGATGTTGTTCCTCACGAGTGCCTCATGTAAATCTGACTATGAGACGAACAGAAATAGAGAACAACACAATACTAACCTGTCTGAAGTGATACAGCTGACACAGACTCTCAAATGTACAGGATTATACGGATTAAGTTTGACTTAAAGACATATACTTTCACTGCTGTGTGAGTTTGGTTGTTTCCCATTTGATACTTCCTGTGTTAATTACATAATTATCATTTCTGGCTAAAGTGATAAAAAAAGTTACTATTCATAAAACGTGTCATGTTTAATGTTCTTCCAACATCTAAACGCCTATCAAAGCCTATAATCAGTTCATTGGTGGCTGTCGTGCAGAGACCCTCGGACCCAAAACATCCCAAAGATGTTCAATTATTGACAAATCTGGCCAAGCATGGGTTGCAACGCCTGTTGGGTTATAACGTTCACTGCAACACAGGCTCTATGTGACCTTGCATTGTCTTGCATAAACAAAGTTCTAACCAATCCTACTGGCCATAGACCTGTGAAGATTCGGGGTAGTATAGGCCTTCAGCAACCCATGCTTGCCCTAAACGGCAACTGTGCATGTCATCGTATCCCATGATGTCAATCACCCTATTGTCTGGTCCAGACTTGATTATTTACAGACTGCCGTCATATAGCTGGAATATTGCTGAGTGCGGCGTTAAACAACAAACCAAACAAACAAACAAATACTAGATAATACACAAAGCTGGACTCAAATCCTACTAATTACATCCTATTGATCTACACATACTGATGTTGGTACAGCACGGCCGTGGTAGTACTATACCGAAGTAGATCAATTGCAACTACATATATATACATAATGCAATCAGTGGAGTTCAGGTCAACAAAATATCACATGTTATTTCACATTACAATAACGGATAAACGAATGTCTTACACACAGACATGTATTATATATATATATATATATAGGAATCCTAAACGATTGTGTAATGTTGCCTTCTGATCAATAAAAAGAAGACCACTATTAGCATGATAAGATCTACAATTGAAAAAAGGTTCCATCCAAAAAAAAAGATTAAAATATACACTCATTGCGGGATAAATTACTTTGATAGGTGTTGAGAATTAACTGTTACTTGAATGAAAGGGGGATAACTCTTGTCTGTTACAGTTGGCTTATTCACACATATTAAAAAAATACAAAAACATATTTTAGTACCGAAATAATGCAATTAATATTTTCATTAAATATGTTTTCACCTCAGTACACAATAAGAATTACTTTGAATAATGAGAAAGCATTGTTTTAAGAAAAATTGAAACACACCAAACTCGCCCAAAACAAGTCCATGGTCCACCACTCTATGGAGCTCAGGGGCCTCTGCTACACCAAAATATGGTATTTCCTTACAACTTATAATGAATGGCTTGGTCTTCATTACACAGTGGCCTCAGAAGAAAAGTATTTAGAATCATATCCCCTTACGTTCTTGACAACTTATTTTATAGCAGTTCATGCCTTAATTAGCCTTATGCACCTCAAATGAATGGAATATGAACTCACTATTTGGAAAATTATGCAGATAATGTAGGACTTTAAATCATACCTTCACCACAAAGTATGGATCTTTTTATCTACCAAACGTAATAAAATAAAGTTACCATGGCTCATCAATTTGTGCATCCTCTCACCAAACCATTTACCACAAAGTGCATGTTTTGAATATAAAACCGATGTGCAAATATTAAGACTCCCTCATTTTATTCACTACGGTTTATTTAACTCTTATTACTTTATGTCTATACATCATATATATGTTTCTAATGTTTGGCATAACATTATAACATATGTTTGAAGAAAATGGCAATCAATTAACAGTGCATTTATCATTCACTTAACTATTCACATGCCTGTGTTTCACAGAATCCTTCCAATGAAATGATTTCCTTGTTTGTTTGCTGTTTAACGCCGCACTCAGCAATATTCCAGCTGTATGGCGCCGGCCTCTGAATACTCAAGTCTGGACCAGACAATTCTGTGATTAACATCATGAACATTGATCTACGCATTTGGGATACAATGACATGCACCAACCATGTCAGAGAGCCTGGCCACCCAATCCCGTTAATGGCCTCTGATGAGCATGGGTTGGTGTAGATCAACTTTAACCTGGTTTTGATATTACCATGACCACATGAGATATATACTGGTAATCATCTAGTCAGCAAAATACAGTGAACGTGCATGTTGTAAATGTTGTACGTGTTTACACAGTATTTAGTTTTTCTTCTTTTATCATACGTTATTTCTGTGAATCAAATATTCGCTCTCAACTTGATGACGTCATATATTGGATGACATTGTTTTTTAGAGGGAAGTGTCCAGTGGGTTGTTCCCCATAGATGTAGCTGAGCCACACAGATCAAAGCAGTGGCAGAACGATCACACCCA